GTATGACTCATTAAGAGATCGCGTAAAGTGAATCCGGGACATTGAATGTCGAATTTTGAACTACTGTCCTTACTGTGTCGGGTATCACGTGTTCGATTCTACGATGAGTGTGGAATTAGGCGAGTTTAAGTTAGTTAAATGTACAATGAAGCTAATAGACTGAAATAGTGACAATGAAGAAAGAAATGGTCCAGTGGTGGAGCCTGCTGGAGCGATGCAGCATTGTGGGGCAGCCTGGAACTAGGCTGCTGCTGGTCGCCTAAGCTGGTCCAGATCTCAGACATTTACTCATCACTAAACACTACTTGCCATGCACCTCACACCCACTTACGGCCTGACCGAGCCTTGGGGCGATCTAAGAGTCGGAAACAGGTACGTACTATATTTCCCAAGCCTTCTCCCATATAGCTTAGTATTATAGGAAATTCTTCCATATGGCCATTGGCCCGACCTGCGTCTGCCCTTCGAGGAAGCTGCTATGGGCCCCAGCCAAGACGAACTTTGTAGGGGCAGCCGTAGGCCGTAACAAAACAAATTTTATACTTAGGTGGCCCCCTCTTATTATAAATTTTATCTTTTATCCCTTAAATTAACTAATTTTTACTAAATATCATTTGTTTAATCGCTCTTGATGATTGTTCGATCATAAATACAAGTTAATTGTTAATAATCAATATTTAATTAGTAGTCGACGGAGACTACGCAGAGCTCCTATAGCTGAGTGGTTACTAAAAAAAATAACCACGAAGGGAATGGCGGGGTAGTTTACCAAAAATTAATTAATTTAAGGGATAAAAATTTCATTGTTTACTAATTCACCTTAACAGTAGTGTGAGTATGAATAAATCGTTTAAGAATACCTTTGTATAAAAAGGTTGATAAAAATAAAAAGTAAGTTATCTGTGCCACTAGTTTATAGTTAGCATACGTTATAAATAATAAATAGAGGACAATACTCAATTTCAGTGTACAGGTGGCAAACCGATTAGAATGGCACTTTAACAAAGACAAGAATACGAAGTGAAGCAAAGCATAGAATGCCGCTTTTCGTTCTAATACAGACTTTTATTTATATTCAAAAAACGTTCTGTTCTACGTTACGATCAGTTTTATCAGTAATAGTAGGTCTCATATTGGTTAGGGGATACATTAATTATTAGCCATTCAGGGGGAAACGCAGCCAGCGTTCTTGGAACGATATCGCGGGGAGTAGGTTAAGTTTTAGTTTTTTTTTTTAATTATTATTATAGTTTTTAATATTCTATATAGTAAAATATTGTATATTTACACTGATTAAAAGAATGAAAAAATCTATATCTAATATCAAACAATAATTAAATATTTATTTATTATGAACTATTAAAATTATTTAAAACTAAAAAGATAATCTTTTTAGTTTTAATAATTTTTTAATTTTTTTTAAATAAAACATTAAAAATAATGTTAGCTGTAATGTCTTTCTTTTATTGTAAAGTAATAATTATTAAAATAAATTATAAATTAAAGTTGAATACACAGATCTTTTTGAGATTAATTAATTCGTTATATTAATAAAAATATTCATTAAAAAATAAAAAGTTAAGTTTGGCACATCATAATGATAAATGTAATCAAAGAAAACGAAAGTAAATTATTTTGGCAGTTACATTAAATATTGTGTATCACGTTCTAGACTAGACACCGCAAAGTTAATCTGTGCGGCAGTGCGGGGCGCGTGAATAGATATGGAGGGTAGATGTAAGGAGGTCTATCTCTTATGGGGGACAAGATGAAAAAGTGTCCAGCTGTAAGCTGTAAATAACAGTTCAAAAACCTTTCAGAATGGCGCTAGCGTAGATACAGGTATGGTATGAATGTAGCATTTGTATGGATTGAAGCGTGGAGAGTTAAAAAAATAAATATTTTTGGTGACTAAAGTAGTTAGTTACAGAACAGTATACAAAACTTCAACTGTTCACGTAGTCCAAAATAATTTTTTTAATACAGTTGCTCAAAAAGTGACGTATTGCAGGGACGTATAGCATTCGGGATGTGGGCATTACATACTCGTGCTTTTTCTTTACCTTTTCCGAACTTGTGCGTTTTTTTCCCAACTGTCAAAATAATGTCTATTAAAAATAAAAAAACCAACTACGAAGTTTTTACTAAAAAAATTCATAGAAGTTTTTATGATTCATGCAAATATTTCTAAAAAGAAGCTACTAATTTGTTTCAATATCAGATTTAATGATTTGATTCAATAAGTTACGTTAGATTTCATTTCATCTCATTAAATTTAATTTATATATATAATATAATATCAATAAAAAATTCTACTGAAGACTTGGTTGTAGGGGCATAGTTCCCTTTGCCTACCCATAATGGGTGAAGAAAACAAAAAAATCTCTGCTTATATTCTTTTACGGTTGGCGCCATTTTCCAAAAATGTTCTTTATTAAATTGCTTCATTTTTTCGCAACTGTATTAAAAATAATTGTTCAGTACACGTGCGGAACGTTCATTGCAACTTGTTCAGACTGTCAACCCTCACCTTCGGCTGCCCCTCGGCTCGGGTAGACATTTGTCGGAACTCTTTTCAATGACAGGCTCATAGATAAATACACTATATACCAGGACAGGCTTTCCGCACTCGTAATGAAATATACTATATAAATATAACCTAAAATAACTAAGTAGGTAATAAATATTTTTTTTGTGTGAACTGTTATAAAACTCTAAAATTGTCCAAATTATTTTTTTAAATATAAAAATGTCTTTAAAATTTAAGCTGCTGCTTTTGTAGCGCCACCCTAATTTAACGCATTTCTATGGACACTTTCATACTCAGAGATAGTCCTCCTTACCTCTACCCTCTATCCTCCATAGTCACAGAGTAGGTACCTTTTTATGGTACATATTAAGTTTGAGCCCATGGGCTCGCGTGTTGCTAACGACCAACGGTCCGGCGTCTCTTCTAGTACGTATCTTAGTACATATCATTTCAATGGCCTGTTACAGATTTTTGTTGTTAGGCTGATTAGTGATATATAATTCCCTACTTTAACTATGAGAATATTTTAGATATAAGCTCAGACCAACAAAGAAAGAAAGTCAGAGCAGCGAATATTTCAAGTGACTCAAAAACCATCCTCAACTTATCGTCAGAACACATACTATGCATCCAAAATCATTTGCAACCGATAGCGTGGTTTTAGGTGTATATATGTGCATCCAATAACAAACTTTTACGGACTGAAGAAAGAAATAAGAAAGGTGTGTGCGTCGGTTGGGCATGGTTTTGAAACCAATTGAAAAGTACCAATACTACGCTTCGTCTATCTTGCTTTGTTGGTCTGATGTTATAAATTATAAATAAATATCTACTCAGCCTCTTCAAACTAGCTTAGATCTATATAACGTTGAATAATTTTAAAACTCGTATACGGAATTAATAAAAATAAAATATTCATATTAAAAATTAGGAAAACAAACAAAATAAGTAACTACAAATTAATTTTAACATTGTTTTACAATCTGCATATAAATCGCGAGCTAATAACAAAAGAGCTGCTATCAAAATCAGTCAAGTCAATAATTAATATTTAGAAAAAAAAAACATAAAACAGCATGTATTGAATTTTTTACATGCAATGTAATTATTATTAATAACTAATTATTTAGCTGCCTCACTATCTTATCAATTTCTTTAAAAAATATGATTTTGATTCAATTTTTTTTCATCACTTTTAAGATTTTATTATTTCTGCAGGCCTTGCTTTACTTCAAACTCGAACTAGAAGAACGGACCTTTTATCATTTATAGTTTTTTCTAAAAACAGGCAATATTCAACAATCATATAACAACATTCATGCTAAGGTTTCGTAAAGATAAAGTCTATTGTATTTTTGTCGACATTTTCACGATTAAAGGCACTTTTTTATTCAAAAAATACTAGAAATATCTCATAATGAGAGGCCAGTAATTTGTAGTGATATTTATAGATAATGTTACTAAATAACAAACTTTCAAATTATACTGATAACAATCTATAAAAGATTTAATTTTTAAAATATAGAAAACTTAGCATTGTATTTATGAAACAATTTAAGTTATTTTCTGCCTGCTGTTTTGCAAAGCTTGTTACTCTACTGTTACGCGTTTTCTGTTTTCTCTTCATGAACATCATCAAACTTCGCTCCCATCCGCTTCAGAGCAATGACGGCGCCAACTGCCTTTGCCCATCGTTTCTTGATAACGTATCTCTTCAGCTTAGTCTTGGTAACATGAAGCTCAGTACACAGAGCTGATTGTATGAGCCATGGGTGCGTTAGTGTAGCTGAAGCGGAGAGTCGCTCACTATGGAATAAATATTTATAAACAAAAATTATAATAAAATATTTTATTGAACTATTTATAATGCGTGCTGGAATTGTTAGAGATGATGTATTGATTGTTAGGAAATAGACAAAATTATTAGAGTACAACAAACTCTTATTAGATACCGAACTTTAAAATATAATTTCGTTCGGAAATTGTTGTTTGTTAAATTAAAATATAAAGCTTCATACAATAATGTGGAACTTATAAAATGGAGACATGTGTAGTGTTAATATTTTATGTTTATAAATTTGTGTTATTTTGAAGTACCTTAGTCAAATAAGATACGAGTCTTCATACAGACATGAAGTGATTTTATCACGAATTAAAATTACCTTAGAAAACTTTTAATAACTTGACGTTGGCAAATTTAGATGTGCATTTAATGTGATGATGTGTACTTAAATGTGATGAAAATCGGTTCAAAACCAAAGTCTTCTTTTTCTTAATCATGCTTATGGCTTCTGCTGGGGTGAGGGGTTGGCTATACCACCATCCATCGATTTTAAAATATTTCTGGAAAAATTTCTAAGTCTCCACATCGGCACCTACGGTGGTATGATAAATTGGCAAAAATACAGCTTATAAAAATTTCTACATGGAAATATAGACTATAAGGTATTAAATAAAAACAATGTATTTTATAAAGCCTTATATTTTTAAACAACATTTTATCGTAAAACAATAAAATATATGTAGTACATTATACTTAAGTACGGAAAAAGGAACAAAATTTAAATACGCGGGATAGGATCGGAAGACGTAAGTTCCCGAAATATTATATGGTATATATTTACAAGTAAAAATTAATCTATTGTCAATGTCATTTAAACAATTTTGAAATTGTATCTCAGTCTTGTCTTGATTTTCGATCGGATGTCATACAGAGCTTTGTGTTCGGAGACTAGATTCGTATATTATAAGTTCGATAGTATAACGCTGTCATTTCATTGTCATTTCTACAAAAATAAAAAATTAAACTTAATATCAAAACAATCTCATTTCCTCACTTTGGTAACACGCATACCATTTATTCAGAAAGATAAACTCTGTATTGGTTGTAATACCTTTTGCGAGGTAAGATGGAATAAGCAATAAGAGCTGCTAAGCGGATTGTATCAAATCCTACGATAGTGATCTGTAATTTATCTGCGTTTTACCAATTTTCCCTCAGAAAATAAATTTTGTTTTTGTTTTGAGGCTTTTTCCTAAGTCACGTGTATGCATTCATTTTTGAGTAAAATGATTCACCAAGAATAGAAATGTATGTATTTTTTACTTTTTTATTAGGTAAATTGCAGTTTTTTAATCCAAAGTTAAATTTGAAATGGAGGTCTTATTGCTGTATAACATAACAAGCATGAGACTACAATTATTATAACTAAATATTTTATCAATAAATTGAGATCTAATATTTTACTTTTGTTTTTTTTTTTTTAATTTTTCTGGTTTATAGGTATTTTGCAGCGAGATGTTCGAGGACTAATTATAAACCATTCCGTAGTAAACCTTTCTGAACAACACAATATCATGGCACTTATGTCCCTGTTTACAAAACATACATACAAATTTTTATACAGATAATTTACACTTGTCATTTTTTCCTTTGTTTCTTTTCATCAGATGTTTGTCTCTGAAAGAAAGCGTGAAGGCTTGACATAGAATTTTGGGCTAGTTGATTTGATGGTGACCATTCCAGAGATATCGATTGATGCCTTCCACAATTCGAAGTGCCGCCCGCAGTTCTTTCTCCTTCTACTTCTGTATCCGCCCATTTTCCAAGAAGATGTAATAGACGGTCTTTCGTCCTGTGAGCGTTATTTTCATCTCCTCTTTTATAAGGCAGCTGTCTTCCGTTTGCAGATCCGTTAACTAATTTTCCGATCATCTCTCGTCTTTTGTCAAATTCTTCGAAGAACGTGCTGTGTCGGTCTTTCGGTTGGTCTGGTACATCTCGGCTCATATTAGTTAGTCTCTTTGACCTGGCCGATTTCGCCCAGGGCATTTTGCTCGTCATCGGTTTCTCCTGCTCCTTCTCTGTGAGAAATGCTGAACTTATTTTATTTGTTGATTTTGAAGTAAAAACTTTTCTTTCTGCCTTCGTCGCGTCCCCGTTTGTCACGGTGTTTGTGATTGATGTTCTTGATTCAGTTTTAAATCCATTCTGCAGTTTCTTTTCATCCTTCGACGCGTTTTTGGTTTCTGTAAAGTTCTTGTCGAATTCCTTGAAGCTGTTATTGTTTACTAGATCCGTACTCATTGTGGACAACATGAAAAGATGATCAGACAGTTTCTTGATTTCTTCAGCTAAATTCTTTCTGACGAGTACGTCCTGTTTTTTATGTAAGAAACAGCTGCTGTCTGATGCTCTTCTTTCCACAGGGTTATATCTTTGTGTTAATGGCGTTGGATCTCTTAAAGGAGGTGGTTCAAGGTCATCTTCATCAAAGATTATATCGGGTGAACTGCTAAGTGAACTTCTGGGGGACGGTGAACAGCCTCCCATAGAGGATCTTTCGTAATTTCCATTAAGGAGGTATATGATCTCATGTGCCTGATTGTCGAAGACGTATGGAGAATTGGGATGTTCACTCCATCGCTCGACGAAAAGGCGTAGGTTATCTTTTGCGACGTCAAGTTCTTGTTTCGGCGATGGTTGGGGTCTGGGTTTGTCTCTCTTCACTTGAGTCCGTTTGACGAGCCAACGGTGATGCAAACACTCCGTGGCGCTCGGTCGTGACCTGCGACAAAGACCCTTGTTACTATGACCCAACACCTTATGAGTGCAATAGCGGAAAATAGGTTTATTGGATTGTGAGTGCAGTTTGTGGTCTGGTGTGATATGAGTTGAGGAGGATTTCTAACATTTCTATATGTATTCAAAACTATAATTACATTAAAACTACGTTTAAATATGAATAAAGATGGTTACGGCAGTATCGTATAGGTTCTACAATTTCTACTTATGTTAAAAGGCAATAAATACAATGTCTACGAGTATCGGTTAGTGAAGGGACTGGTAAGTGTTGGATGAAAAACAAAACACCAGTAACAAAGGGTCTTTATCGAGGCTGACACATAATGCAGCTTTTATAATTATCAACACAAAGATTGAAGTTATGAAACTCAATTTCAATACTTCAGGCTTCGATTCAGTTCATTTGAATTGATAAAACCTACTTCATGATTCAACTTGATTTATGAAGTGATTTTAAAAGGCAAAGGTCTAAAAAGATGTAAATTACAGTAAAAACTAATTTGTAGGGGCTTCACACAAAAATCACACCAATAAACCCTATACTTAGACCATATATAGATGCCATTTTGATTTACTTATTTACAATGAAAAAAAAGCACTATTTTTTTAAAGTTTTCAGTAAAATATTCGAATTATACCAAAATTTTAATCTTTAATAAGATAACATTGCAGAAAAATTGAGAGAATAAATATTGGATTGCATTGAAAATACATGAACAGCTTTCTTGTAAGACGGGGAAAGTTTTTTTTTTTCAAAATGGCGCCCACACTGGTCTATCTACATAAAGCCTTATATACTCACTCTTTGTCTTTCACGAGCAGTTTCTGAATGAAGTCCTTGGCGTCATCAGATATTTCGTTAAATGCTTCATCATCAAAATCGTATTTTGCAACTGTTACGTTCGCCATGGTTTCAATATCCGTCTCGCCCATGAAAGGTGACAGGCCCGACAAGCTGAAAAGATAATGGACGATAATTAACAGATTTCTTATATTTACGCAAACAATTTTTTCTAGGTTAGGGTAAGGACCATGCTAGTACAGAATACCAGCGTGAAAAAGCAGAATAATGATGCTGTATTTCGTATGGTGAGTGACTAGAACTAGATACTTTTTTTATTAGTAAACGAGGCATTTCATCTAAGTTCTCAGGGGTGATTTACTATTAGATCAATGCATCAGTGTTTATGATTATGTCTATAGGCTACACCATCCACTTATAATCAGGTGGACTGTGTCATCGTTTGTCACTCTTTAAAAATACGTAATGCTTATAATTTTTTCATAAAAAAGCATATACGAGAACAATATGGAGCGTTACCCCAGAGTTTATTGTTACCCTAAGTTTTGATATGTCGTCGAAATATTTCTTTTTATTTTCTTTTTTTTTTAACTGTTAAGCATGTGTTAAATCAGCACGAAAAGGGACAATCAACCGTTTCAATACTTTCGGTGCTTGGGACCCGATACGAATTGTTTGCTTTACTTGAATTATTTTAATGCAGGCGCGAAACATTGGATTTTTAATCCATACCGGTCTGTGCTAACATCAGAGGTTCATAAGCTGTTTTAGTATTAGGTAATCAATTTATTTCAAAAATATTTACAAATTTTACTTACAGCACGTAACATATTACGCCAATGGACCACATGTCGGTCCCGTATCCGATCTGGTCGAAGTTAACCACTTCCGGCGCCACAAACTCGGGTGTTCCAAATAGCACCTGTAGTTTCTTCTCAGGATCGTAGAACCGTGCTAATCCAAAATCGATGATTTTTATTCTGTTACCCGATTTTGTAAGACATAAGATGTTTTCTGGCTGAAATTAAAAGAAAATTATGTTAGCTTGACGGTTCGGTAGGGAGATACCTAAGAAGTGTGCTGCAGCGTTTCGAGCCTCGATTTCGAATCCCACAAATAATTATTGTTCCTGTCTTGTGTCTGTCCAGATACAGGAAATATTCATAATATATAAAAATTAGACGCTGCGGAAGAATAAAATTTACGTCAACATACAAAACCGAGGGATATTTTTCAGATTATCTGTATACCTCGCTTCAATCGTAGTTATTTCATAAAGATTAAGTAATAGTAGTGGCGATTGCGTAAGAAAATCTAATTGTACTATCTTTTTTAGTCTAATTAGAGTCTTGTTAAATTGTTTGAGATAAGTATGGGATGATATCTGATGACAGATAGCCGAGTAACTATAATAAAGATCACACTTAAAATACCCACGATTGTCTCGTTCAAGTCGATCTCGTCTCAAGCGTGACGAATTTAACAGATTACCATCTTGTTGAAAAATGCCCATTTCAGTAAGAGCTAAGAGCTTACAATATCTGCAGAACACTTAATATGGTATTTGATGTGAAACATCTATAGCGACGGGTCAGACCGACTGTTGGCGTGGCGACGCGTCACGACGCTATAAATGATAGTATATGTTTAAACATTTCTAATTGATAGTTATTCTTTGACGCGAATTTTTAATTTTTGTATTTAATGAATATACATGTTTATTAAATAAACAGTCATCTTTATCTTGGAAAAATCTTACTATTTAATTTTTCATTAGGCCATATTTATTTCCTGTCGTGAAGTATTATTTGTGCATATTACTTGTACAAAGTAATTTCGATGTTTCACATCTGCCAGGTGTCTCGCGACGCCTCAGAATTTTATTTTTATTTTTTTGGATTTAAAATGTTAATAATTTAAAAAAAGCAAATATTTGAATTTTCATTTGACCCCTACTGACAAATTATAAACTTTATTACGGAAATAAAAATACGCGCAATAGAACGAACAATAATGATGGCGAGCAATCATAAAACTCCCGCGCATGCTTTTCCGCTGTTTGATATACAGTTTGGAGCCGTACCAAGATGTAAACGCGGGAGATTTCAACGACATTGTAATTTTGATTAGAAGAAATTTATAGCCTTGCTTGTTTATGTCTTGTATCAAAGCATATAGATTGTTGAAATAATTACAGTGTATTAAGATTTTTGCATGTATTTTTGCATTCATCTTGGTTTTAATTAATTTAGCAGTGGGAACATACAGGTCGTACGGTCCTACCTAAATTTGACCACATGCGGATTATCAGAACTAGTTAATCAGTTACGTTTAACGGTACATATTTTTTTATCTGTATCAAAGCTTTAAATTAAAAGATTTTATTACACTCAGACAGTGCGATTTACCATCTACCGTTAACTTAAAGAGGAGTTAAACACTGGTTTATACAGTAAGTAAAAAAGATGTCATCTAATGGTCCATCAGATAACAGTAATGTCTAGCAGTCTACCAGTCAATGACTGGTAGACTGCTAGACTTAGTTACAGTAGATACTGTTAAAAACTGCTCAGGTACATGCTGTTTGGCAGGTTGCTGAATTTCATAAGAGTTTAGTATAGAAATGCCAGAAAAACGCAGAAACGTTTTTGTACGAGGTAGAACCACACTGCAGCTATTATGTTTGGAGCACGAATGCGTCGGCTCGACCGACGAAGGACCACGCTCTCACAGAATACCAGCATGAAATAGCAGCTTAATGCTGCTGTGTTTCGTATGGAGAGTGTAGAGAACCGGAGACCCTTATTATTGGAAATGAGGCATTTCATTATAGTCCTCAGGGGTGACAACGCATCTCATCCTGTAAAAAGGGTCTCAGGTTCTGTACACTCACCATACGAAACACAGCAGTGTTAAGCTGCTATTTTACGCTGGTATTCCGTAAGAGCGTGGTCCTTCCCCGGACGAGCCGACCCATTCGTGCTACAACTATACTTCTAATATAGTTGCAGCATGGCTCTACCACGTATAAACAATAATTACGCATTATCAAGGATAACTCAAAAACTACTTGTCACTTGTCAGATCCTGATCACATTTATATGGGACCACATGAGATGCACTTGCTTTCAAATAAAAAAAAAGAATCATCATAATCGTTTCACCTAGAAAAAAGTTCTGAAGTAACACACACAAAAAAACAGTCGAATTGAGAACCTCCCGCTTTTTTTAAAATCGGTTTTGAAAGATGGCGGTTTAACCATTTATTACACGCTAGATATTAAAAAACATAGACCGACGATGGCACTACTTTACTGTACTGTGTCAATCCGCATTCCGCATGCCAAGCGTGACCATTCAGGCAAATCCTTCGTAGCACAGGGAAGGTCCATGTTCAGCAGTGGACTTACGTGCTGACGAAAAAGCAATATCTCGAGTTTGAGTCATTACAGGGCGTAGTTATATCAATTGTTTGTAGTAATCGCAACAAAAATGTTTTGGAGTAATTCTTCCTGCAACTTCTTAATTTCCTTATAAAAAACACAAGTACACCGTGTACAGGCTGTGCATAATTGACGCTCTAGTTTCTACCTTCATATCTAGATGCAATATGTTCTGCCGGTGCACGAACTCGATTCCCTCGCATATCTGCCTCATGAATACGGTGCATGCGCGCTCTGTTAGCACGAAATCCTCGTCGATCACTCGCTCAAACAGCTCGCCACCAGTTATGCTGTAACAAAACAAAACTGCGATTTAATTTTACTTTATAATTATAATATCCTTCAGACCGAATTTCAGTCACTTGTATAATATATTAGAAAGTGTATTAACTTCACACATACTATTCAATATCCATCCATCCATCCCTCAATCCATATAAAAAGCACAATGCTGAATACGGTCCTCCTCCATAGATTTGATTAAGCAGTTTCTTGGCTCGTTTAGCACTTTAATTTTATATAAAAATTAAAAACATCCACAACAATGTGCTACAAAATCTTATTTACGAGATGATGCTTAAAATACTACACATTGTAAGGTATTTGGCATCGCACGCTCATGACTACAGGATACACAAATAGGCATTTCATTAACATACTAAAAAAGTACTCTGTGCATATTAATTATAACCTGTGAAAGCTGTCAATCAGCCGCAAATGGTTTTCAGAAAAGACAATGTCAATTTAAAGATGGCAAACTGCCGACAAGCAAGCGCCGTTGTCAAAAATAAAGAGCGTTTCCACCAAGAACTTGTATTAATAATTATATAAAATAAAAAAAATATGTCTTACAATATCACTTAAAGGTATAGTGGAATTATAATTTTACCGAAACGAGTTCACGAAATCGAATAATAACAATTTCACTAGTGAGATTATAATATCACACAAGTTTTCATTATCCCTGCGACATGTAGTTGTAGTTTATATCCGTCATATTTATACTGAGGTCTCAGATCAACAAAGAGAGGTAGAGCGCTGCCTACCTTATTTTGTTGAGAAAAGACGGAGAGCTCTCTTTAAACTTTGGCGCTGCGTACATTTCCAATGACACTGAAACTAAGCTCAACATTTTGCCACTAACTCACGCACATTATCTTTCTTCTTTCTTTTTTTAACATCCCGTTAAAAGTCCACTGCTGGACGCATACATATGTACCTAAAACCATGTTGGTTCCAAATGCTTTTAGATGCATATGTGTGCAGTATATACACCCCCTATGAAGAGAGTAACAAAGAGACGGCCCCCAGTCCCCGGCGGCTCCGCTATTCCTGGCTACGGTGGCGACCATGGTAACGGCGGGGCAGGGGGTGCTAAGAATCTCCGGTGGAGGTTCGGTTGCCACCTTAGACGACTCGACCTGGCAACGTACAACGCACGCACCCTGAGGACTGACGAGAAGATCGTGGAGCTGGAAGAAGAGATAGACAAGTTACGCTGGCATATTATAGGATTATCCGAAGTCCGAAGAGAGGGGGAGGACACGGTAATCCTCGAATCCGGTAACTTGCTCTATCACCGGGAGGGCGACCATCTGTCCCTAGGAGGTGTCGGATTTATCATCCACAAGTCTCTCATTAACAACGTTGTAAAGATCAAGAGTGTGTCGACGAGGGTTGCGTACCTTATACTCAGAATCACCAAACGGTTTTCGCTGAAGGTCATACAGGTTTACGCACCAACCTCGGCACACCCCGATGAGGAGGTGGAGGAAATGTATGAGGATATCTCTAGAGCCATGCATTCCTCCAAAACCCAATATACGATGTTAATGGGAGACTTCAATGCAAAACCAGGCACAAGAGAGAACGGTGAGCTGAAAGTAGGGACATTTGGAATAGGGAAACGGAACCCAAGGGGCCAGCAAGCTGGCCGACTTCATGGAGAAAGAGAGACTCTTTATGATGAACTCTTTCTTCCAGAAGCGGCCCCACAGGAAGTGGACCTGGTCGAGCCCCGACGGTTCGACAAAAAATGAGATTGACTTCATTATGACGACCAGGCGACAACTGTTCAGTGATGTCTCCGTGATCGCGAGGGTGAAAACTGGTAGCGATCACCGAATGGTTAGAGGCACACTGAACCTAAACGTTAAGTTGGAGAGGTCTCGTCTAATGAAGTCAACGCTCCGTCCCACTCGTGCTCTGTTCCAAAGTCCTGAAACCTTTCAGCTCGAGTTACAAAACCGTTTTCAGTGCCTAGAAAATTGCAATGAAGTGGACGATATGAATGACAAGCTCGTGGAAACTGTCCAGACGGTCGGAGCAAAGTTCTGCAAGACCCGCCGCAGAAGAACACAAAAATTCTCCGATCACACTCTTAATCTCATGGCTGTTAGACGGGAGATGAAGCTACATTCTTCAACAGATTTGACAGCATACAGGCAACTGAACAGACAGATCTCCAAATGTATGCGGCGGGACTTACGCAACTTCAATCCAGCTTGTATTGAAGAAGCGATCGAGCGGAACCAAGGCTCCAAAGTCTTTGCCAGAGATCTGTCTGCCAGAAAGAGCCAACTGTCAAAGCTGAGGACCGAGTGTGGCAGCATCGTTTCCGGGGCACCTGAGATTTTGAGTGAGATTGAGAGATTCTATGGGCAGCTGTACACGTCATCGTTGGAGCCACACGCAAGTGTGAGTAACGATCCAAGAGCGAGTCTTCTCCGACACTATTCCGAAGATATCCCGGACGTCAGTCTGAGCGAGATTAGAATGGCTCTCCAGTATCTTAAAAACGGCAAGGCCCCAGGCGAGGATGGAATTACAGCGGAGCATCTGAAAGCGGGTGGAAAACCGGTACTTGAAGTCCTTTAAAAGCTCTATGGTGGCATTACACCGGAGGCGTGGAGCAGAAGTGCGGTGGTCTTGTTCTTCAAGAAAGGTGACAAACGCTCTCTTGAAGAACTACAGACCGATTTCCCTTCTGAGCCGCGTCTACGTGCTGTTTTCGAGAGTCATTACGAATCGTCTCGCGCGCAGACTTGACGACTTCCAGCCTCCCGAACAAGCCGGTTTCCGAAAGGGCTTTAGCACCATAGACCACATACATACCCTTCGGCAAGTTGTACTGAAGTCCGAGGAGTACAATTTGCCACTATGCCTGGCGTATGTGGACTATGAGAAAGCCTTTGATTCCGTCGAAATTTGGGCGGTGCTGCAGTCCCTTCAGCGGTGCCAAGTTGACTGTCGGTATATCGAAGTGCTGAAGTGCTTGTACAGTAGGGCTACGATGGCTATCCGAGTACAGAACCAGAGTACGAAACCTATCCAATTGCAGAGAGGTGTATATCCCCGAAACTCTTCACCGCTGCATTAGAAGACGTTTTCAATCTTCTGGACTGGAAAGGATACGGTATTAACATCAATGGCGACTACATCACTCAACTTCGATTTGCCGACGATATAGTCCTTATGGCAGAATCGCTGGAGGACCTAAGCACCATGCTCAATGATCTCAATAGTGTCTCCCAACGGATAGGTCTTAAGATGAACATGGACAAAACAAAGATCATGTTCAATGTCCATGTCCTATGCCAGTAGTTGTTGGGAGCACTAAGCTCGAAGTTGTTGACGAGTATGTTTACCTAGGACAAATAGTCCGACTAGGTAAGTCCAACTTCGACCAAGAGGTCAATCGACGGATTCAACTCGGCTGGGCAGCGTTCGGGAAACTACGACACATCTTCTCGTCAGACATTCCTCAAAACCTTAAAACGAAATTATACAACCAGTGCGTGTTGCCAATGATGACTTACGGAACTGAGACGTGGTCCTTCACTGCTGGCCCTATGAGGAAGCTCAAGGTCGCTCAGCGAGCTATGGAGAGGGCTATGCTCGGAGTTTCTCTGCGTGATAAACTTAGAAATGAGGATATCCGCAGAAGAACCAGAGTGACCGACATAGCCCAACGGATTAGTAAGCTGAAGTGGCAAAGGGCCGGCCATATAGCTCGAAGAACCGACAACAGATGGTGAAAAAAGGTTCTCGAGTGGCAGCCTCGTACCGGCGGACGAAATGTAGGGCGTCCCCCCACTAGATGGAGTGACGACCTGGTAAGATATGCAGGAAGTCGATGGATGCAGGTGGCTCAGGACCGTGCTTTGTGGCATTCCTTGGGGGAGGCCTATGTTCAGCAGTGGACTTATGAAAGGCTGTAATGATGATGATGATGATGATGATGATGTGTGCAGTATGCTTGAGTGCGTGTTCTTACAATGTTTAGCATGGTTTTGACTTGGTTTTGGCGTTACGTAAAATGTACACAACGCTCCGTCTATCTTCTTTGTTGGTTTGAAGCTCAAGTCTAAATAGGTGTATAGTTTGGTCAAGTAAAAAGAACAAGTAATATATTAAAAAATTACATAATCATGATCTACATTACATTTAAAATAATATTTTTTTTTATAGGATAGGGTGACAAACGAGCACACAGTCCACCTGATGGGAAGTGGTTGCTGTGACCCATAGACATCCACATCTATCCTCAATAAAGAATCAAAATGCAGATGCGTTGTCAGTTGTCACCCGTGAGGACAAGATGGAATGCCTCTATTCCAGTAAAAAGGGTCTCCGGTTCTCTACACTCACCATACGAAACACAGCAGTGTTAAGCTGCTATTTTACGGTGTATTCTGTGAGAGCGTGGTCCTTCCCCGGTCGAGCCGACCCATTCCTGCTACAACTGTACTACTAATACAGCTGCAGCATGGCTCTACCACGTCTACATGTTACCGGAGTTTGCAGTGATGTCACTTAAAAATGCCGTCTTACCTAAACAATCAGAGATTTTATGAATTTAAATCTCATATTTTTTAAACTTACGTAAGATGCTGTCAAAATGAAGTGTGAATGAGAGTGGTATTAAAAGTTTTTCCTGTAACGGAGAAAAGAGATTACGAGATTCACGTGCCAAACGTAATCCTGACGTATAGTATCCCATGTCTGTATATGTGTAAGTAGTGTTGCCGCCAAAATAGACCGATGAATAGAGGCGAGGTTGCGTACAAGGTCGGTGTCTTGCTTCCTGGGTATTGCTGTCTCGCTTTCACTAATGAAAATATAAAACAGTTTTTCTACGTACATTCATGAGCCATTAATAATGATTTTTTTTTATAGTTTTACATACGCTACACTATTTCTATTTTCTAGTAGAGTTACCTAATTGCAATATAATTTTTCAGTATAAACTAAACGTTGGGGGCGGGGTTCAGAATAGCTTCAAAAGTCG